TCAGATCCATGTTGGAAACGCATGCTTTATTTTAAGATCTTTTTTAGAGCATCGAAACTCTGTGAATTAGGCCAAATCTGTTTCTTTACATGTGAACTTAAAAAGATTCAAACAGAGAGAAAGAAAAAAAAGAAAAAAAGATTCAAACAGATTGCACTCAAATAACCAATATGCTTCAAAACTGTTGGCTGAATTCAGACATATAACTGGGGCTTTCATCACCCATTAATGAACTATTTTGAAATAGCCATCATTTTTCAAATAAAAGCTATTTAACTGAATTTAACAAGTCATGATGTTTTAAAACCAGTTTCCACATGGACACGAAGTGGATTCTCCCTGCACCAAAATGGAAGATTCTCGGCAGATTTCTCCTGAAAGCAGGTGGAAGACCCTCCAATATCACAAGCAGTCTATCACGGATCTGTTTGAATTCCCTTTTCAAGTGAATAAAGTGTATTATATTGCCAGAAGGATACTCCATCATCTATAATAAATATTCATCTGCATGTATCATGCACTTGACTTGCATGACTGATGAACTCCAGCTCCAGAAATGAATGGGAAACTCACTAAGACAAATGTCACCTTTCAGTGCTGTTCCTACAGATAAATTGCAGCTAGATTTAAACAAAGTCAGTAATTTCATGCTTTCCAACGGGTGCCTGACTCAGCGTGGGCAGCCCTCGCTGCCTATATAAGGGTGAGAATACCCAATTTGATTAGTTGGGGTTTTGGCAATCTCCACCAAGGAAACAACCATTTCTACTCAATCGGCTTATTCTGGAAATACAATTAAGCTAAACACATTTCCCCAGGTATATATGCAATTTGGCCAATTTGAATTTGGGGGAGTTTCATTTATGGTTGGCAGGAGTTAGCATACCTAGGTACAGACCTTTTGAAAAGCAATTTGGCATCATGCCATAAAAGCGAGTTTCCTTTTTTGACTTAGGAATCACCCACCTGGAGATTAATCCAAAAGTTTTGTTAGAAGAACCATTTATCTCTCTCTCTGTTTTCTGGTTTCTTTTCATGGGGAGAATTTCTCACGTTTTAGAAGATACAGAATCATTTCCTCTCTCCTGCTGCTCAGCTGCTGGGTGGGTTTGGGAAAGGAGCCACACACGAATGTTCGTGCATATTTTGGGCTTTCTTTCTCCATGCTCCCTTGATTTGTTCTTCCCTGAACAAGAAGAGAGGTTGTACTGGTCTGTTTCTTTTTGCTATAATAAAATACCTGAGGCTGAGTACTTTATAAAGAAGCGTATTGAGCTCACAGTTGGAACCAGCCTCAGTTCAGCTCTAGTGAGGATCTTCCATAGATGGTACAACAAAGGCAGGAGCACATGCAAAAGCAAGAGGTCTAGGCCAGACAGGAAAACCAGAGAGAGCCTAAGGGTAGGTCCATGCATTTCTAAGTCACTCTCCCGGGATCTTGTCACCTGAACTACATTGCTTCCTTCCAAGGACAGTACCGATGACCTGTAGGCTCCAGTTCTGAAAGGTCCCACTCCCTCTCACGTTGCCAAATTGAGGACCAAGTTCTAACACATGATCTTGAGGCTGCACACTCAAACTATATCCAAACCATAGCAGATGTGAAGTTCAATCCATAGGGAAAATATTAGAAAATAAGTGTATCTGGTCTCTTACCACCCACAGGACCCAAGCATCTCTCTTTCGTATCAGGTCTTGTGAAAGGAGAGGAGGAAGAAGCTTTCATATGTTAGTCTTCATCAAATACCAACAGGTTTCGCCTCATGGGTATCCACTGTGGAGTTATACATTATCCAAGAATGGAAAATTTTTATGAACATAATCCACTCAATATAATGTGTAATAATAACCTTGCAAATAAAGTAAATATGATATATTAGAGCTTACCTGAAAAAAAAAAGAAAAAATAGAGAGAGCGATAAAATGATACTGGCAAAACGTGGGTAATTGTTAAAGTCAAGTGAAGAAATTGGTGATGACCATTATACTGTTCTAAAAATATCTAAGAAAAAATGAGATGTGGGCCATGTTTATTTAAGGGCAATACGAACTACTTGACTATTTCTTTTTTATTATTATTGATTTTATTTTTTTAAATACATGACAGCGGAATGCATTATGATTCTTATTACACATATAGAGAACAATTTTTCATATCTTTGTATATAAAGTGTGTTCACGTCAATTCGTGTCTTTATACATGTACTTTGTTTTGACTATTTCTTTTATGTAAATTTTTACTTATTTTTTTCTAGTGAATTTGATGATGACTATTTCTTTTATGTAAATTTTTACTTATTTTTTCTAGTGAATTTGATGATGAAAGTTGTTCTTTTATCTGCAGAGGAAGTTTTGAAGCTTATGGGATGGCAGAATGGTAAAGCCTATTGATATGACCTACTTTAAAACACTGTATAGTGAAATTTTAGCTCTGGAAAGCCTTGGGGAGTACATATGCAGCGTGTTGCCTTTTCTATTGTTTTTGATTTTTTGGTTTTTTTTTTTTGTTTTTGTCCTGGGGATTGAACCCAGGAGAGTTTCACCAGTGGGCTGCATCCCCAGCTCACTAAGTTACTGAGGGTATGACTAAGTTAATGCAGCTGGCCTCAAACTTGCAATCCTCCTGCCTCAGTCTCCCAATTTGCTGGGATTACAAACTGTGTCACTGCACTCAACTGCTTTTTTAAGATTTCAAGGGAGCAGCAATTAATATATGTTCCCTCAACACTCCTTTCTCCTTCCCCCTTTTACTTCACATACAACTGTTCTTGTATAAGTTTCAAGGTAAATTTAAAGGTGTATTTATTCCTTTCTTACAGCACCTTTATACAATTACCAAGGTTTGGAAGCAACCCATATGTCTTTCAGTTGGTGAAAGGATAAAGAAACAGGGGTACATCCATACACTGGGATATTATTCAGCAATAAAAATAAAATACGAGCCATGAAAAGACATGCAGGAGCCTTCAATGTCTATTCCCAAGTGAAAGAAGCCAGTCTGAAAAGGTTATATTTTGTGTGATTCAAATTATAAAGCACTCTAGAATGCTAACACCGTGCAGATATAAGTCTGGTTGTTACAGAGGGGAGAGGGGTGACTGGGTGGAGCACAGAGGATCTGAAACTCTCCGCAAGTGTGGCATTGGTGAATACCTGTCATTCCACATTTGTCAAGAGCTATAGATCATACAAAGCCAGGAGTGAACCCTAATGTAAACTGAAGACTTAAGGGAATAACAGTGTATGAGTATCAATTCATCCGTTATAACAAATACACCACGCTAAGGCCAGATGTTCTTGGTGAGGAAACAATACCAGTGAGGAGATGCCACTTTCAGCTTGATTAGTCTATAAGCCTAAAACTGCTTCAAAAATAAAGTCTACTAAATTTTTAAAATAGCAATAATTCTAAATGATAGTGGCAACATCGTCTCTGCCAGCAGGTACACATAGGTAGAATGTGCCTGGCTTAATTGATGGATCAAGTCAGCCTGTCAGGACTGTCTGAGCAGGCGGGTGTGACCTTTCCCAAGGGAACGCCACTTCACTTTCCCCAAATGCTCTTTTCTTACCCATGGCCAAGAGAAGTGCTCAGTGACATCTGAAATTTTTCAGGCTTGGACCCTGCCCACTCTCCTTGTACTTTACTCCTGGTCAAACTTCACACGTCAGCAGTAAGTAGGACTAGAAAGCACTTAACAGATGCAGAACCAGAGAGCTCAGACATTCAGCAGTGATGGTACTAATAATATTGATTAAAACTAAGCAGCGGCTGGGCACGGTGGCACACACCTGTAATCCCAGAAGCTTGGGTGGCTGAGGCAGGAAGATTGCAAGTTCAAAGCCAGCCTCAGCAAAAGCAAGGCACTAAGCAACTCAGTGAGACACTGTCTCTAAATAAAATAGGGCTGGGAATATGGCTCAGTGGTCAAGAGCCCCTGAGGTCAATCCCCAGTACCCAAAAATAAATTTTAAAAAAAACTAAGCAGCAACTCAAAACATAGAGTGCTGAATTCATTGTGGAAAACACAGTAAAATCCTGCAGGCATGAAAGGGTGATGGGGGTGTGTCTGGACTGAGCATTAGGATCAGTATCTGATTCAATACATCTGTGGTCCAAAATTATGAGGAATTTGATTGACAATATAGTTAAAGTTGTCCTTGAAAATATGGCAAAAAAAAAAATACAGGAAGAAACACTCATAAACTGTTAGAGGTGCTATGTTGAATTCTGGGATTGTGGGTGCTGTAGCTTGCCTATAGGACTTTGCTCATGTACTCCTATGTTTTGGAAACTGATCATCCATCACTAGACTATTGAACAACCATTGTGTGAAGTGCTACTCAGGCTTAGAGAGGGAGTCCTCAGGTGTGACAAACACCTTTTATATCTTGGGTTCAAACACGCAATGAGGAAATTAAGGCCAGAAATCTGCTGAAATCCTATCATTAGTAGAAGCAGAACTAAAATTCAAAGCTCACATTCTCATTTCCTCCCTAGAAAAACATCTTTAGTACTGATTCCACTCACCCTCGTTGGAATGCTTATCTACAGACCTCACTGGATGTAAGCAATATTCACCCAATTTCCTCCTCCTTCGCCAGTACCCAGCCCAGTCCCTAATACACAATAGGTGCCCAATGAATGGACGAGTCGGTGCTGTTAAATAGTACCAGAGCTGATTCCTGATTGCCTCAGGGGACATCAAAACGATTCTCACCAAGAATCATAAGTCCTTTGATGACCAGGATGACCTCACTGATATTCTTTTAGCATCTCCCCAGAACCCAATACACGCCACGGTAAACTATCAATGAATCAATTGGTGATTGAAGAGAAAATTAAAAGCTGACAAATGCATGTGGCCTCACCAAGGGTCATTGGCCTTACGCATTTTCAACCTGAAGAAGTTATAATAATGTCCAAGACTCTTGGGAAATGTAATGTGACCAGACACTGTGCCTGGTCCTATTTAGTCTTCACAACTCCACACAGCAAGTATTGCTCATCTCTTTATTTCCCAGTTGTGTAAAATGAAGCACAGAAGAGCTAACTACAAAGTTCACAGATATTAAGAAGCCAATTCAAAGCCAGTCTGACCTCATGGCCATGCGCTCATGGGCACTCTTTGGTCAAGCTGATTCCCAACAACCGTGACCTTCCCTGTGGCAGGATTTACATGCCACGTAAGAATATTACCTACTGAGGGGCCTGGAAAGCGTTGGTATTACAGTACTGTTTAAGTCAGCTTTTCTGCCGCTGTGACCAAAAGACCTAAAAAGAACAATCTTAAGGAGGAAAAGTTTATTTGGGGCTCACGATTTCAGATGGCTCAGTCCATAGAGGGCAGACTCCATTTCTCAAGGCTGGAGATGTGGCAGAACATCATGGTGGAAGGAAATGGTGGAGGAAAGCAGCTCAGGACATGGTAACAGGAAGCAGAGAGACTCTTCCCCCCACCACAGACTGAGCAAAAACCCCAAAGTCAGAAAAGTCAAAAACCCCAGGGACCCACCTCCTCCAGCCACCCCACCAGCCTGCAGTCCCACCCACGGCATCCCTATCAGGGGACCAGTGCACTGATTGGGTTAAGGCTCTCCTGACCCAGATTCCACCTCTGGACTTTCTTACGTTGAGCTCTGGGGACACCTCACATCTCAGCCTTAACCAGCACTGACGACGGCTGGTTTCAGGGTGTTGTTCCTCCTGGTTTCCGTGCAACACCAGGCCCGCCAGCAGACCGCCATCCTAGTCAGCTAAATGTTGACACAGAGGTCAGATCACAGCGGTAACCAACGCGGTCACGATTTTCAAACACATGAACTTCAGCAAAAGACAGATTCTTCCACTCGAAACTGATGCCGAATCCAAAAGTTTCTGGAGCTGGGAAGAAAACGGCAGAAGCAAAATGTAAACATTGTCGGTGCTCATAATAAATGATAGTTCATAAAACTTGAAAAGATTATAGAACAGAAATTTACTTCTTGTGTCCCTCATTATTTAATAATTTATTATATGAAATCTATTGACCTTTCTGTGGGCTTTTTTTTTTTCCCTGAGAGGAAGCTGGAGCGTTAATTATGGTTTAGCTGTTTTATTGAACAACATTAGCATACAAATAGGACATCAATAACCAATTACCATCTTCATCTAGGTAAAGCAGGTCTCCTTCGTTGCCTCTGCGACTGCTAACTCAGCCACTCAAAGGTCTCGGGCACTTAATGATGATGGCATTCAAGGCTCTTCTCAATCAACCCCCAGGGAGTCTCCCCGACTTGATGGCTTGCTCCCCTCTCTGCGTGCTCTGATGTCTGGCCAAGCTGGTCCACTCCTGCCCTGCCGCAGACCCACCGGGGGCTCCTGTCTCAGGCTGATGCTGTCCACCAATGGCTGGTCCTTTCATGTCTGCTTCTGCCACCCCCCCCCTCCATGTTCTTTATTCATTCTGCAGACACTAGCCGAATGCCATTCACAGACTGACCTGGGGGACACACCAGGAGCAAAGTGGACATGATCCCTCTTGTGCCTGAGGTGACAGGCTACTTCAGGATTCAGCAAACTTTCTCTCTAACAAGCCAGATAGTGAATATTTGGGGTCCAGCAGGCCATCATAAGTCCTCAATCCTGCCTTTGCAGTGGGAAGGCGACATTGATAAGACATAAATGAATGGACCCAGCGATGTCTCAATGACACTTTGTTTATAATAAGCAGGCAGGAGGCTGCACTTGGCTTCTCAGCCATAGTCTGCTGACCCCGGGCTCAGAGCAGTGGACTCTGAGGTTGGAGAGAGCTGGATGAGAAGTCAGCTTCTGTATCTGCACTGTGTGGCCTTCAGCAAGTTCCACTGTTTCTCTGCCCCTCGGTCTTCTCGTCTGTAACACGCAGACAATGAAACCTATATCAGACTCTGCTGTCCCCCCGTTGAAAGCTTCTTATGTGTCATATCCAGACTCCTCACCATGCCCCCTAGGGAAAGGCTGAAACAATCTACCTCCTGCTTTTCTCTTCCTCCCCCTCTCCCCAGGCTCGGCTGCCTGACTCTGTTCCTGCCAAGCTGGTCGTCTGCAGCCCAGTGCCTGGCACATGCAGGGCCCCCTGCCTGAGATGCTTCCTCCTACCAGTCATATGCCAGTTCCCACCTGTAACATCCAATTTCAAATGTGGTTTCCTCCAAGGGACCCTCTGTGACCATCCCATCTAACATGGCCACACCTGGGAGAGGCCACCATGCCCCCTCCATCTCTGCTCCCTGCACTTATCCCAATTTGCATTTGTTGGTTTAACCCTTCATTTTATGTCCCCCCCATTAACCTATCAGTTCCATTAATGAAAGAACTTCCCCATCGTGTCTCGGGCACTTAGCCTATGTCTGGCATGAACTGATTAGTAAATCAATAGACACATGTGTCATTAATAAACAAATCAATATATGTTAGTAGATGAACACGTCCCCATCAAGAAAACGGCCCTGTGCTTTCTTTCAAGCATGGTAGGCAATGACTCACATTTTTTTTATTTCTTTGTCATTAGAGCTGGCTACCTTTGATTTCTAGAATGCTTAAATCAGGACTCAGAGCAATTAATTTGAGTGTGCGCCCAATGTCCCACGCTGAGCTCCCCTTTGGATTCTTGGGCTATTTTCTTACTTCTGGTGAGATTCCTTTTCCTCTATGGAAGAACTTCAGACCAAGGACCAGAAGGAGCAAGACATGAAGAGTTGGGAAACCTGGGTCCTGTGCCCAGCTCTCTCCCATTGGCTGTTCGAGCCAAGACAATCGAGGCCGTCTCTCTGAAACTTGTTTTCTTCAATGGCAAATATAGAACATGAAGGATTCCAGCAACAACAGTCTAACACTCTACAAAGTAATCTCCAGCTCTTGAGCCACTGGTGTTAGCAGATAAGAGCAAGTAAGAAAAACACTTTGAACCTACCTGCTTCATAGGAACATGCCTCGGGAGCTAGAAATCCAGCGTTCCCCCTCTTGTAGTGTCTCATCCAGAGCAGACTCTCTGGGCCAAGCCAGTGCCTGAAATGATTAATTATTGCAACAGCAGAGAGGTAAATGAAGAAGCGACAGATGGCCCATGTGAAATGGTCTAGAATCACCTGCTATGAAATTAATTCCACATCTTGGAGGCTTGGGGCTCAGAACACCATGAAAAAAAAAAAAAAAAAAAGACTGTTGATAAATTGTGTGTGTTTGTGTGTCAGCCTCTCTGCAAACACCTAAATAATATATGTCGTGTCATGTTTTCTCTCCTCCATCTCGTTTTAATACATTATCATTTATAGAAAACGGCAGGGAAACGCAGGACATCAATCAAGCCATTAATTCCTGAGATTATGTTAATGAGATGCCTGGAGCGTCTGTTTCCCAGAATAGCTGCGTCCCCAGGAAGAATGCCCTGGGCTAGCCCCAGCTCAGCCTCCCCCGCTTAGATCAGGAGCCGCTTAGATCAGGAGCCGTCAGCGCCCGCCACGGTGTTCCCTTTTAAAGGGCAACAGGCACATCAGCCCCGGCACAGGCAGGATTTGCTCATCCAGACAGCAAAGGCCAGCCACCTTCCCTGGCAAGCCACAGATGAAACAGAAAACCTGTGAGACACAAAGAAGAGGAGCTCTGAAAGCCCAGCTAACGAGCCTGGGAGCTATCCCTCCTGCTCAGGAGCAGAGGGACAGAGGAAGATAAAATAAAATGAAGAGCTCCCCAAACAGACGCACCGTTAGCTGAGATGATGCACAGAGACCAGGACAGCTGTGACTTCTATTCATGTGGGCGAAAGTCAGGGTAATGAGGTTGATGTCAGGAAAAAAAAAAACCTCAATTACAATAACTACCACTCTCTGGCACTTCTTGACCACTATACCTATTGTCACAATCACTGTTACCCCATTCCCTTTTATCAACAAGGCTCAGAAAGGTCACTCGAGGTGGCCCAGCTGGTGAGCTGTGCTACATTACAGACACAGGTGCACCCAGATTCCCCAGCCTGTGCTCCTTCTGCTTTGCATATTAGACGTGCAGTCAGCCCTCCCCATCCAGGGCTTCCACACCCTGAATTCAACCAACTCTGGATCCAAATATGTTTTTAATTTTTGTCTGCCTTGAACATAGACAAACTTTTTTTCTTGACATTATTCTCTCTAAACCAGATAATTTGACAGCCCTTCAGACAGTGTGTGCATTGCTTCAGGTATTATCAGGAATCTAGAGATGATTTAAAGCATACACACAGGAAGGCATACATGGGTTATATACAAATACTATACCATTGATATAAGGGGCTTCAGCCTCCTCGGATTTCAGTATCCTCAGGGGCCATGAAAACAATCTCCATAGGTCCAGGAGATGACTGTATACCTCAAAACTGTGGATTTAACATGTACTGCTCTTCAGTCACTCAGAGAAACAGGAAATGGGTTTCGTTTGCTATGTCTTTAAGATGCTTCAAAACAAAGTCACAGGCTAAAAATGGGTAGCATGAGGGTGCCTATGATCCTGGAGGAGCTCCGTGACATTAGTAGCCTATTAGATCTATGTATGGGACAAAAGGTCATAGAACTACGCATCCACACATGACACCCTATAGGGCAAGTAAAACGGTGAAACCTAAACTCCAGATTGAACAAATACTGATGCCTGGTTTTGGTAACATTGTAGGCAAGGTGTCACCAGTAGGGGAAGTGGCATCGGATACATGGGACCTCCCAGGATCTTTGCTTACCACTTTGCTCTGAGTTGATAATTATTTCAAAATAAAAAGTTGAAGAGGTAACTCACAGTCGGCCCTCTCAAGAGAACTAACTTCTTTGGGCTAACCTCCATTTATTCCTTCACCCTACGGGCTACATTTCCCAGGTCTCAGAGACAGAGTCTCCAGGGTCAAAAACCCACAAAAATTTCCAACTGTGAAGATGGAAAATCTGACTCCATTAAATATGATAATTTCTCACCAAGACACAATAAGCCATAAGAAAAGAAAACACACAGACTTGAAAAAAATTTGCAATGGATATGATCAACAGAATATACATAATCCAGAATACATAATCATATATACAAAAATATATGTGCATTTACTCATAAGTCTAGAACATATATAAAGAATTCTTAGGCAATCAACAGAAAAATAATGTACAACTCAATAAAAAAAAAAAAAGTGAGTAAAAATATAAGGAAAAGCCGGGTTCCGTGACGCACACCTGTAATCCCAGCAGTTCAGGAGGCTGAGACAGGAGAATCGAGAGTTCAAAGCCAGCCTCCTCGGCAACATCAGGCACTAAGCAATTCAGTGAGACTCTGTCTCTAAATAAAATATGAAATAAGGTTAGGGGTGTGGCTCAGTGGTCAAATGCCCCTAGGTTAAATCCCTGCTACCAATTATACATATATTTTTTTTTCACAGAAGAGGAAATTCAGTTGGTCAGTAATCACAGATAATGATGTTCATCCTTTCTAATAGCCTCAGAAATTAAAATTGAAATAACCATATGTTATTTCACATATGTTCCTGATTCAGGAATTCAAACATACTGTGAAATACAAACAGACTCACATATTCTAAGTGCCACCATCAAGGCATGGAGTTGAGCGCAGTCACTGACAGGTGGACATAGCAATCTCTCCCACACCAAGCATGAACCAGGAATCAGAATGGGGAAATCAGAGGCCAGCAAGACCCACCGCAGAGGAGCAGGGCAAGCTTCACTGAAATCTGTAAAGAGAGGGCGGACATGGCAGAGAGCATGGTGAGAAGCATAAGATGTGGAGGCTTATGGTCAGAGGATGTTGGTGAGTAGTTACCAATTGGGAGGCAGGATGATGGAGCCACGTGCTGGTCCGTCTTTGTGTGAGACTCTGTACTAGATGCTTTCCAAAGTTATTTCAGTTACTGTCAAAACATTCTGCTCCTTCTCTTATGGAGACTTGTGTTCCAGCAAGACTCAGCAATTTGCAGGTTATAAATAATGGGCTCAGGACTCAAATCCAGGCTAATTGGACCCCAGAAGTCACTTTCATTCCTCCTTGACACTTCATTGCCTTTATTTAAGTGGCTTCTTCTGTAAGCAAACTTTCCATTTGCATTCCTGTTGGTGATTTCTCAGACCAGGTTCAAAACTGGTTGAGAAGAATCCATTACTGCATTTGGAAGCACCGGCAAATGGTCATTAGAGGTGGTCTTTGGGGGGCTAGATTGAGTTTTCTGTGGCAAGGCCTTTAAACCCTCCAAAGCTCAGTTTCTACACTATGAACTGGGGACAAAAGCCACAAGGCTCATTTTGTGAAAGTAAGAGATAAAAGATACAGGGGACTCTGGCACCAGGCAAGAGTTCAGCAAGAGCTAGATATCTTAAATACTTTTTGTGTAGTCATCTTCTTCGCCCAACTGGGAAACAAGCTAGCTTCTTTTATTAAATTCATCTTTAATTTGTCTTTTAATTGACAAATTAAAAAAAAATGGATATATTTATCATTTACAACATGTTTTGAAGTACATTCTAAAATATCTAAATCAAACTCATTAATATATGCGTCGGCCTACCTATTTGTTGTTTTGTTTGGTTGGGTGTGGTGGGTACTTAAAACTTTCTCTCTAAGCAATTTTCAAGAATTAAGAAGAGTCGCCATGTTGTGCAACTGATCTCCTGGACTTGTTTCCCCTGATGGATGGTTCAGACCAATGTCTCCCCAACCCCCACCCCCAGCCCCAACCACATTCCACTCTCTACTCTCAACCACTGTGAATTCAGCTTTCTAAGACGCCACGTGTGAATGAGAGCCCGAGGTGTTGTCTTCCTGTGCCCAGCTTATTTCACTTAGTATGATGTCTTCCAGGTTCGTCCATGTTGTGGAAAATGGCAGAGGATTTCCTGCATCTGCATTTCTCTGATAAGTACCAGTTTTGAACATTTTTACACAGAATTATGAGCCATTCCTATGCCTTCGTTTGATAAGTGTCTATCACAGCTCAGTTGATTTTAAACTGTTTGTTATCTTACTCTTAAATTGTTCGAGTTCCTTGTGTATGTTATATCAACCACCCCATGAGATGTGTGGTCTGTAAGTATGTGTTATCGTCTCACAGGCTGGCTCTTTGCCCTGCTAATTGTTCCTTCAGTTGCACACAGAATGCAAAGAAGCTTTTTAGTTTGATGTACTCTCATTTCTTCATTTTTTTTTTCTTTTATTGTCTATGATTTTAGGGACATATCCAAAAAAAAAAAAAAAAAAAAAACACTGCCCAGACCAATGTCAAGAAGTGTTTTCCCCTGTGATTTTCCTCGTGGTTTTACATTGTAGGTCTTATGGGTAAGACTTCAAACAATTTTGAGTTGATTTTCTTATATATTGTGTGACAAGGATGTAATTCTGCTCTTCCACATTTAGGTCTTTAGCTCTCTCAACGTCAACTATGAAAGAGACCACACTTTCCTCACTGTATGTTCTCAACGTCTTTGTTAAAAAGCCATTGACCATAAATACACTAATTTATTTCTGGAATTTCTATTCTGTTCATTGGTCTATGCAAGCTTTTTGCCAGTCTCACGCTGCTTTGATGACTTTGCTTATAGTATACTTTGAAGTAGGTAGTGTGATGCTTCCCTGTATTCTTTGTGCTCAAGAACACCTTGTCTATTTGGGGACTTTTGTGATTCTATACAAATGTTAGGGATTTTTTTTATTTTTAAGAAGGTTATTAGAATTTCATTGAAGTTGCATTAAATCTGTAGATTGGTTTGGATAGTGTGGGCATCTTTTCTTAAATTTCATGTATTTATTTATTCTAATGAGGTATTTATGACAGCCAAATGCATTTTGATGCATTGTACACAAATGGAGCATCACTTTCACTTCTCTGATTGTGCACGATGTGTCATCACACATATGTGCAGTCACACATGTACCTAGGGCAATGATGTCCATCTCATTCTACCATCTTTCCTGCCCCCATGCTCCCTCCACTCCCCTCTCTTCTCTTTGCCCCATTAAATTTCCTTTATTCTTCCCATGCCCCCCACCATTATGAATCAGCGTCCTCTTATCAGAGAGAACATTCAGCCTTTGGGTTTTTGGGGATTGGCTTACTTCACTTAGCATGATATTCTCCAACTCCATCCATTTACCTGCAAATGCCATGATTTTATTATTTTTTAATGCTGAGTAACATTCCATTGTGTATATATACACCGCAGTTTCCTTATCCATTCATCTATTGAAGGGCACCTAAGTTAGTTCCACAGTTTAGCTATT